GTTCGGTTGCTGCTACCATGCGGCAAAACGGGCGGAAGATTAATCGAAATCGAAGCCCCACACTAACGACCTCATTGCTTTATCATCCGGGAATTGTCGGAATAAATAAATATCGTGGCAAAAGGTTCAGGACTTTTCCATAGACAATGGGAATGAATTTTTTAAGATCGTAGGTAATCGTAACATTGCAAATGTTACTTGTTCCTGTTTTCTTTCAAATTTAATTTTATATTACCTTTTAATGTTGACAGTCTGGCATTAAAAAAAAAAAGATTTCTGTCGAAAATAATAATAGCAATTTATCGCTAATTTGATTTGAAACTTACCTAATTGTTTTATTGGTTTACCTATGTCAGGATTTGGTTGAGTTATATGCCTCATTTATTTCCTTTTCAGAATTATAAATTTAGTTAAAGTGTTTTACTAGCAATTGAGTTTATACTTTGAAATTATTCAATACTTGATTTTTGACCTTACTGGGCGAGAGAAGTTACACATGGAAGTTGCAGATTCTAGCCTGGAAGTTCAGTTTTCTTCGTCAAATGTGGAGGTACATGTATCGACACGTGAAGGACTCAAGACCTCTATGCCCACGCTGCACGAAATCGGTGATCTTTAGGGCTTGTTACAAATAGATTTCTTGAGACAGACAGCTCCCATGAAAAAAAACGGCCCCCGAAAAAAAAAAAACGGCTCCCCGGACAAAACCAGCTCACCAGCTCCCCGGTAAACCCTAAGTAATAAACCATTACTTCAAAAAAATTGGAAAGGACTTACGTCACGAGACTTTTTATTTAAATTTTTTCGGTAACCCATGGATTATTGCCTTACGCAACTTTATTTCGTTAAAATAATCCCTGATCGCCGATAAGATACTTTTTCCACAAGAACGGTAATCACACTTGAGGAAGAGAAGAATTCAACGGAAGAGTCTTCTCCCCTTACTAACTTCGCCTGGTAAAAAAAGGACAGAGAAATATGGAATGAGCTGTAATCCAAAATGAAAATCAAAGCAATCAGAAACCATCTAAATTGTTCAAATGATAAAAGCCTTTGAAGAAAATATAAGTGAACAATATTTGGCTTTTCACACAAAATAATGGCCAGACACAAGAAGATAAAAGACAAACAACCTAAATCAAGGCAAATAGCCATACAGATCAATTCTGAGATGTATTTTTTATTTAAATTTGGCTTGGAAAATAAATTTGTTGTAAATATGTTTTAATTTGGTTTTTTCCACTGAAATACCTATCAACAGGAACTTTCCTAAATGGGTGCAAGATTGCAACAAAATCTAACCAACATGGTCCTGAATATGTTAAAGTTTTCCTTCAACAAAATAATGTAAAATGTCGACCAGATAAATAACTGTGAAACTTCTTAACACCAAAAATAATCGATAAGGCCTGCTTATCGAGCTGGCTATATTTCTGTTCTGATATAGATAATGTTACAGCCGCATACATAACAGGTCTTCCACTCCCAAAACATTTGTTAAAACCGCACCCACTCTATAATTTGATGCATCGCACGACAGAATTATAGGCAAATCAGTATTGAAAGTCATCAACATATTTGAAGACAACAATAAAAAAAAAACAACTTGTCCATTTTTTTTTTCACGATAAGACTTTCAAGGTTGAAATTTCAACAAGAAACAAGGACTTTCCAGACCTTTTCAGTGTCACTAACACAGAATTACATGAGGTACGACTTTGAACTCTACATCTTGTCGCCATTATGTTGTGCAATGAAATACTCTTGGGTCCGTTAAATTAACTTAATCTACGTCGGTGTCATTATGACACATTTAGGAATGTCTTTTGAAGTCATTAGGTCCTTCATAATAACACTAGTGCTCTTAAGAATAGGGACAAAAAGGTATCGAGTAGGATCTCATAAAATTTCTGGACATTCAAATCGATGTCCAAAATGGATCCCAAAAATGACCCAGTCACCTGAACCATAGAAATTATATAAATCCGTGAAATTAGCACGGTCGAAAAGATAGAAAGTAAATGAACTAATATTCTTTAATTTGGGAGTATAGGGAATGTTGAAGTAGCATTCGATGGCCAGGTGAAAAGTGTCGATCTTTAATAGTGGATCTGAGCACAACAAAACAGTTGACTTCGCAAATTCATCAGCGAAGATCAAATATCAAAAATTCGATTATGGCAGTTCTTGTGCGGATTGATCTGCTGAAGTTCCAGAAAAAACATGGAATTCAAAACTGTTTCAGCAGAAGCGGAATTCAGCTTCTCTGAACGGACTAATGCATCATCCTCTACCGACCACTGGATATTGGAGAGGTTAAAGAATGAATTTTCGATTAACACATAAGTATTTCAGAGATTCGCAAGTATTACAGAACGATTGATAACATTCAACAGGTGAATTTGGTGGAATATAAACGGAATAAATGATGACCTTAATATGATCAAAGAATAGCCGAAGCCTTCGTATGCAAGGTTGACAGGAGAGTACAGAACAGTTGCTTGGATATTATTGGAGTGGAGGTAGCAATCAAAACTCCACCACCGCGTTGACAATTTAGTTCACCATAATTACGGTCCCTGCGAAAGACACTGAGACGCGAATCAAATAGCTCAGAGTTCAAAATGCCATCAGTAAGCCAAGTTTCCGACTAAATAACGATATCATACTCTAATGAGTGAGTGCTCGCCAAGAGCTCACTCAATTTCGTTCTAAGACCCCTTACATTCTGATGAAAATGTCAAATGGACGGAATGTTGCACTTTTGTCCCGAACTGAAACAAGTTTCTCAATTGAGAAGAATAGATTGCGAATTTCTTTTCTAACAGGCGATTATTCTCAAAATTACTTCTGTCGGATATTTTTGTCTAATGAGAAGTACTCCCTTAGGACATCAACCTCCAATTCGAGGATTGATGCAGGTTTCCCTTTCGATGAACTGTGGTTTTCTGAAAACCTGATTTCGCGCTCGAAGGATAAGTTCGTTGGCTTTCTCTCTTCTTTCTTCGTGCTCCTGGGACAGCTCGTACTAACAATACTCTGGAGGCTCGTCAGCTGGCCGCTCAAGGCGATCCCAATAGCTAGCGAACCCACGCAATGTATTGCCAGCCTAATACGCGATCCAAGTGCAGGGTAAGCAAGTCACCACACTTCTGTCATTCTGTCGAGAAAAATGATGGAAGAGCTCTTCTTAATCTCTGGCGCAGAGATCAAGAGCAGACAGCCAAGATGTCTGTAGAGAAACTGACTGACTTTTGGCGAGAATCAGCCGTTTTCATGCGTTTTAGAGAGAGTCTATCCATAAGCTCTTCCCACTTTACAAAAGCCAATCACAGTCATGCAGTGCAGCAGGAACCACAAATAATTTGGAGATTATGTGTTTTAGAATATTCTTCTTCGCAATGTGGGAAGGGCTGCCATAGTAGTTCAGCTCGCTGTCATCGGAAATTCGTTAAAGTTGAGAAACCTTGCAGGAGAGCCCTTCTCGTTATGCAGGACCTTCTTGAAGACAATGTGAGATTCATGTGTAAAGTTGTTGAGGATGGGCTGCATAGGGAGATCCGACGATGATTAGGTTAATGTGAGAGAATCTATCAAGTATATGGGCAACTAAGTTATCGCTGACATATTTACACTTGAAAGCGTGAACATTACCGCATAATCGCGTCTGGTGAAACGACGACTTAGATCAAGGTACTTGTCAAAAATATCCTCAAGTAGAAGCCGCCTCCCAAACTGACAGTTGATATCAAATCGCATGGTAGACTGCGGCGTGATAAAAGAGAGCAACCAATCACACTAGACTTATTCCCAATCACTAATAGTTGAGGATTTTCTTGAGTTTTATTTACATTGAGACGCGCGTTTGAATATATATATATTTTTTTTGACTCAATGGGAGGACTAGTTTGTGAGGCATGACCACAGAGACCCAATTTTGCAGCTAAGCTGAGTTCATTGAATCAGACACAGAGTAACCCTATCAGTATATGTAGTGGTTGTTCAACTCCCCGAAGTTAATTCAGGACAACTAGTAGGTGCATCTCCTGAATTAAGATCCACAGAAAGTGCACTGGCGAGAGTAATAGTCCGAGAACTCCGCTTCACAAGAACACTCTGCATATTTTTATCATTATTTTTTTTTCGGTTTGCCGCAAAAGTTTCATATTTTTAGTTTCCAGCTGTATTTTCTGGTGTTTAAGTAACCTTCACGTTCCCTTAGAGTCCTATGTCTTCATCTCCTGTTGATATTTCTCTCTTTGATATCAACAGAAATAATCACAAAGAGATTAATAATGAAGTTGGACTTGTGCCCATTAAATGACCTCTGGTATCTGGTATCCGAGCAAGCTTCGGAACAAACGGGTATTCTCAGAGGGTAAAAATGTTCACAAGCCAAATAGTTGTATGGCAAGGTGATACGATCTCATCAGCCTGCTAAATATATGTTTAAGAAATTCAACTATTGGTATAAATATAAGTGAGCAGTATCTGAGATCCGCGGATGATATCGTGCGTAGACGCAGCAGTTGAGATTGTTCTCTAAGATTTTTGACCAACTCAGCTAAAAAGTTTGGGAAAATTCGAAATCGCAAGTTACTTCCTAGGCCATGAAATAAGAATAGTCAGAGGCAACCAAATGTCCAGATAATAACCAAAACTAACATGAGTATAGCGATCGAAGGAAACGTCCCTCTTTGTCTTAGACGAAAAGATTTTGCCAGTTTTCACCTGCAGAACCGAGATTCTAAACTACAACAAAACAATCTGTAGAATAAGAGTGACCCAAGAGGGAATACCTTGTTGATTGATAGAAGCTGGACTAGATCACAACAATTAATTAACTTTTCTCATAAAATTCGAATTTTGAAAATGAAATTTCAAAATGCGGTTCTGTAACTTTACCTTTGAACTTATCAATCAACCAAAAAACGTTATCGTTGTTCACATTAATTTATTGAGAAAAAGAAATAAATATTACCGCATTACCGCGCTGTGACTGATAAATCAAATCGGGCGGAAGTTAACAATAATGCTGCCAATTTTTGTATTAATTTATTTATGTTCGGAGCTGTCTGAAGGCATATCTACAAATCCTATAATATATGATCTTACCTGGACATTTGGAAATGATACAATTTATTGGCCTGGTTGGAAAAAGTTCGAGTTTACGAAGCAAATACATATTGAAAACAATGGCTTGTAAGTATTAATAGTTTTTCTATATGAACATAAAATTGAATGAAGCTGAGTATCACTGCTAATATTACCAAAACCTCCAAATAAGCATATCGCAAGCCTTATAACCATGACATTATGAAGATAGACGAAGTACCTACGTTTTTCATGATATCCAGATTTCCATTAGTACCTACTCCAAAAGTAGCACGAGTATTTAATACACAAAGGTATATACAGACAGATTTTATTGAAATCGTCGTCTCTAGACGAAAACATCCTCCTGAATGAGAGTACTGCCCTGTAGTTTATGTTTTATTATCTAATTCAAAGCCAAAGCAATTTACTTAAATTTGATAATATTAATTTTTCTGATACTGGTAAACGTTACTAAGCCAGTGAACTTGTACCTACGAAAATGTACAATTTCTTGATATTTTTATTCATTTTACATTCAAAACAAATTTTGTGCATAGGTAAAACCATAGATTTAAGTTGGGACTTTGGCAACGACACTGTTTACGTAGCTGAAATGCAACAGTTTACTTTTACTAGAAAAATTGCAAGTACTGATAGAGGTTTCTGGTAAGTCAATAATAATTGGAGTTTTTGTGTAACTCCGAAGAACTCAAATCTGCTAATGTAGGTGGCTATCCAGTGGTACCTCTGACTAGGAAAAATGTTTTTAATTAAAGCCAATATTTTTCTAGGTATTCAGCTAATGAATTTTGTGCTGCCGAACATGGTGGTACCCACTTCGATGCCCCTTACCATTTCTACCAAAAAGGATGGAAAGTTGCTGAAGTACCAGTTACAAGATTATTTGCAAAAGGTACCTATACTTACCTTTATTGATAATACCAAACAACATTCTGTCTCATTACCAGGTACGTTAATTAATCTTAAGAAAGACTCTGAAGCGCTTGGCAGAAACGTCCGATTAACCGCTAAACATTTACAAGATTGGGAAAAACGAAATGGGCAATTTGAAAGTGGTACCGTACTCCTAGTGCAATTTGGCCGATCGAAATATTGGCCGAACAATTCGGAATATTTGGATCTCGATGCTGATAACGTTACTATGAATTTTCCAGGCAATAACTATTGGATTATAAATGTTTGAAATCCCTAATCAATTTTTTCAGGTTTGTCCAATGAAGCTGCTCAATGGATAGTCGACGCAAACAAATTCGTCGGTGTTGGACTGGATACACCAAGCATAGATCCTGGAAATACGACGGATTATTTTGTACATAAAATTTTCGCTGAAAATTCATTGTATAATCTGGAAAATGTTAAACTGTTGGATAACCTTCCGGAACGCGGTTTCAATGTTGTAGTGGCACCGATGAAAATTGAAGGAGGTTCTGGAGCACCTGTTAGAGTTTTTGCTACAGTTGAAGAATTATAGTTCTAATAAAGCACATTACAGTGACATCTTGTTTTGTTGTATACAGTCTTATTTTACATAATTATACAATAATAAGCTTTATTATAGATGGAGCCACGGTCTACAAACCATATAGATTCGCATGGGAAATTGATTTTTGGTGTTTAGAGTATTCGATTTACGAAAATGTTTGATAGAATAATCGATTGCGCGCCGCAACCGTTTAGTTTGTCTTTGTATGTGGAGATAGAGCCACCGAATATATTGATCCATGAGGATTTTCTTTGAAATTTAGATGTTGCCACTTTGACTTTACTTACTTAACAGTTTTTTGTATTTTTCAAAAACAACTTGTGTTGTTAGTGTTGGCTCGAAAATAATCAAAGATTTTCTCAATTTTTCTCCATTTTTGGATTGAACTGAGAGAGGATATTTTTTTCGGCATTGACCAGAAGAAAAATTTCTTTGTATCTGACAGGATTTTTTTTATTTTATAAAATTTTCCTAAAGATGTGCCGAGTACAATAGGAGTTAATGATCCTTCAAGAGCATTCAGAATTCAAATATTTGGAATTCACCTTTTTGGGAAAAGGTAAAATATGAGCTGATATTCAACCAAAACGTATCAGTCAATGATTGAGATTGGACTGCCTTCTGCTTCTGAATACAAAATAATCATCTGAAGTAAATAGTGTCTAGGGTTCATCCAAGTCCTGGGCTGGGACTTTATAACAGATAGAGATTGTTATCCCCATTGGTATGGCACTTCTTCACTCTTTTCGAAATCATTAGAGAGGGACGCAAATAGAGATAGAGGAGATATCTCTATTCATTACAGAGTCCCAGCCCTGAATTGCTAACGTAAATGATTGATTTGCGAAATAAAGTTTAAACCAATGAGTCAATATGAGTCATCTTTTTCAATAATTAAGAATATCGATGATAAAAATTTTAATTTAACAACAAAAGAATTTCTGACAGAAATAACAACACTTGGACAATTTTCCATACATTCTTTGTTGAAATCGTGGAATGTTGAGCACGAGAAATTGTAAATTGTAGATTCCATGTGGAGTCGTTACAGCTTGTTCCAGCCGCTCAAGCACTGTTTCCAGATATTTTGTGTGTGTATCTGCTCCTAGTTGGTGTCCAAGATTTTTAGGCATCTCCCAAAGGAGACCAGCTTCCTAAGTGGTAGAGTACCCACCTCTTGGGGTGTTACCCATACCCCTTCAAGGTATTTCAGTCTTTTGCAAAAGTGAGCAGGGTATTCACAGAATCAATGTTCTGTAGTTTCTGTAGTGGTCATTGTCTGATTTGCCTATTGTTTATAGGTGATATTTCACCAGGCAATACCCAGTGAGCAGACCAACGACTATTCTGTTCACGTCAACAAGTTGTTCGGATCTCTTTGCTGAGATAAATATGGAACTTTCTGCCTCACTCAGATCCGAAATAGATCTCTAACCAGCTAGCCTTTGGCCCTTTTTACATCTGTTAATTTTTTCGGAGACGTGGCTTTTCATTAATCCACAGTAATGCTCTGAGCCTTGAAAAGATGTTAAAGCGCTTTGCTTTGCGAGACGATTTGCCTTCTCGTTACCCTCTATTCCCTGATGTCCAGGCACCCACATGAGGGTTACTTTGTTCCTCCCAACCAGTTGCTTCAGGATATTTTTACCCTTCCAAACTAGCTGCGAATTGCACTTGATGGCTCCTAGAGCATTTGGAGCCGCTTGATTGCTGAATAGTATGTAGATGTGCTCTCTTGAAAGGTCTCTTTTAAGGCACTCTCGAGCACATATGTTTAGGGCCAGTACCCCAGCTTGAAATATTGTGAACATTTTACCCATAACTAGAGCTTAAAGTTTGGTCCAGCTATTCCAGAACGACTCCATCCGTTAGTTTTGAACCATCTGTGTACCACAATGATGCGTTGTTTGATGAACGAGAAATTAGGCCAAGTGGTAAAATTCCTTTAAAAATTAGAAAAAATAGATTTTACAGTTTTCGTTTGTTACAAATAAATTTATTTATTTGTAATTTAAAGCAAGAGACTTTTTTTTTTTGGAGGGGTTTAGGAAATCTTTTGTTCAGACTATCCCCGACAGATGTTCTGTCGCCGGGGTGTGTGTCGAGGTGGCGTCCAATTCTATGAAGCGCCGACCGACTAAACACCTTTCCTTTCCGTGTTTAAGCCGCACTATCCGGAATCACTTGAGCATTTCTTCAGATGTCGGCTGATTTCAAGTTTGCCCTGGTTAGGTAAAGGCCGTTTCGTAACTTCCTTCTTCCGCAGTTTTTTCCTTCAAGATATCCCTTACCATGACCTTTACTAAGTTCCAGTTTTGAGGACTACTGTTCATTTTATTTACTATGTCCCCCGGGGTGAAAGACTCAATCATATATAAAAGAACGTGTGTTCGATTGTGTCTACTTCTCCGCAGTAGATGCATTCATTGTCTTGTGTTTTATCTATGCCATATGTGTATTCCCGGTGAGGAGTTGGGTTAGGAAGTGATCAGTTTCCTCATGTTTCTTGTCTATCCATGTCCTAATATTGGGTATTAGTTTGTGCTTCCATCTCCCCTTTTCGCTGTTTTGCCACCTGTCCTGCCATTTTGCTAGTATCCTCTCATTTGACTCTTCGGGCGGCATTCTTTGATTCCTCAGGAACCTGGGCTATATGAATGGTCTCTCTGATGAGCAGGTCCATTGGGGGAGTTTCTGCGATCACCAGTATGGCATCTGTCGAAGCAGTTCTGTAGGCACTGCATATGCGCAGTGCCGGCTTGGCGTTGAATTCTGTTATGCATAATACGGTATTTTCCGATGTTCATGGGGCCGCATACATCATACATACAGAGTGACAACCATTCTGTGTCTAAAACTCTTTTCATATCTAACCGTGTCAATAACCTTCTGGATCGCCGTCGTGGTAGATTTTCCCCTTCTTAATTCAAATTGCCTTCGCTTAGTCTGACTAGGATCACGTGCTCTAGAAGATTGCCTCCCGAGCATGCACAATGGTTTAAATTTTTGTGTATCGTTTGGATTTTTCTTCGGCTTCTCCATGATTACGAGTCTTGCGATCTTTGATGGAGACGGAAAGATGCCTGCTTTCAATGTATTGTTCAGGGGACCAAGGAGGAGTTGAGGGTTCGTGCCCGCGATCAATTTCAGGATGTCCTGTGAGATGTCTTCAATACCTGGGGCTTTCTTCTGTTTCAGCCTATTGCACGCTAGAGTTATTTCCTCTGCGGAGCATCAACGCATCAACACACCTTAGTTTTAGCCAGGTGGAGATTGGCCTGGTTGGGAACAGATCCTGGACAACCTCGTAGGATTTTGCCATCGTGAGGGCTCTGTGCTCGCTCATGACCTTCAGCCTTCTCGTTGCGATTCTATATCCGTCCCCCCAGCCATCCTCATTAATTTCCTCGCATAGTCTCCTCCAGCACGTTCTCTTGAACTTCTTTATTTTAGTCTTAAGTAGTTTTCTTTGGTTGAGATAGTCGACTCTATCAGATGGTGTCCTAGTGGCACCCCTGCGGTTGTTTATTGTTAACCTCATCTTCAGGGCTTGGCAGGTCTTCCTGAGCACTGCGATCTCATCATTTCACCAGTACGCTGGTTTCTTCCTTCCCTAGTGGGGTTTCTTTCTGGGCATTGAAGCATTACAGACGCAGTAACAAGCTGGTCCAGATGTTCGTCGTCTGGGTACGTTCCTAGCGAGACCGCTTCGATTGCTGGTTTAGATTGGGAAGGCTTAGCTTTTTGACTTTCTATCCTGGTCTGTTTTTAACTGTATTGCATGATGCTATTCTAGTTTATTACCACGAAGTAGATATACCTGTGATCGCTGAGAGATTCAGCGTCGAGGACCCTCCAGTTTTTGATTTTGGCGCTGACCTTTCCTCTAGACATGGTCAGATCAACTATACAGCTAGCTTCCTACTTTGCGGACGCGGGTGTGCTTCCGATGTTCTGGAGTATTAAATTGTTCGTGGTCATCCAATCGAGTAGGAGGTTGCCCCTTGCATTCGTGGTATGCATATGCCCAGGAGTTGAAATCACCGGTGATTATGGTGTATTTTATCGAGGTAGTCAGGAGGTTTCGGAGAGAGTCTAGAGCCAGGTCGAAGTCCTCCAGTGTCATGGCGCAAAGTAGCAGCTGACAAGAATATAGTCGCCGAGTTCCACCCATGCAAAACAGTTGCTTGCTTTGGACTCTAGACACGCGATGTCTCGGTTTCTGAGTTTGACGGCGTGTGGGTCACTATCTTGTGGTTGGATTCCGAGACCATGATTATATCTGCATCGCAAATGTCTGTAGTTACATTAAGGAGATCGTGGGCTACGCTGCACCTGTTCATGATCAACTGGAGGATCTTTAGCGCTTTAGGTATCCGGTGTCTGTTTTGGTTAGTGTTGGTATTGCCAGGCATTGTATTATCCTTGGGTGTTTCCAATAAATCTACTAGTATTGCCAGTATTGTATTTAATGGCTCAAAATCACAATGACGTACTATGTTATATCAATTGCAGGTACCCCTCTTGGCATGAATACCTATTTTGCTCGACCACCGCTAGATGATGGCGCTAAACTATGGCTGCATCACGAAGCAATAGGTAGCAACACTATATGATATTGGACTGAATCCGGTAGGTCTGCTTACTGTTTTCCTAGCCACCGATAAGGCTCTTTGGAAAGCGCCACATTTCTCTGAACCCGCTTTGTATCCATTCTCTTTGCACACTGGGCACATTTCCTCTTTTTTTTTTGTGCAGCTTCTGGTTTTGTGACCCTTCCTTCCCGCACTTGTAACACAGACCAGTTCTATCTGGCCTGTGCATTGATCCTTTTTGTGGTCATATGCCCAGCATCTGAGGCATCTGCCTACCGCAATTCTTTTTTCCAAGCGACCACATAGACAGCGCAATACGGATGTATCTGTTTTGTAACAGGCTTTCTGCTTTTTCTTTATTTAGTGTCATTGTTGCAGCCTGTCTCACCTGCGTTTGGCCTCAAGTCGCTTACCTAGTATTCTCCTTCTTCTAATGGTCCTGTGATGTCTTGGATGTATTGTACTATCTCGTCTTTGGTGACAGTAGCGTTTAGGCCTCGTATGTGTATGGTTTCCTTAGCTCCTCCAGACATTCGTACCTTAGCTCCACTTGTGTTTTCTTCTATTTCCTTTCTAAGTTCTTGCGCTGCCTTCGAGTCTTTGTTCATTGTTATTAATATATTTTCGCTCGGGATCGTATTAATCGCTTTACTGGCATCTGAGTCCTTTAGTTTAGTTTTTATGTCTCTTACTATGTCATTGAAGTTTTTCCCCTCGTGTTCAACTGATAGTGCATATGACCTCTCCTTGTTGTTTGTTTTGGCTAAGGTGTCTGTCTTGTCTCCTATCGTAACATTTGTCTCTGTGTTGTGAAAGATGATTCCGACCATCCTTCGCAGAGATTCTGGACTGTGGCAGTTTGTATGGTGCATGGCAATCCAGTCTTCCCCTTTCGTCTCCGTCCTTAGCCTTTTTATTTTTTCCCAGAGGCTCTCCTCATTTTCTCCTGTCATTTTTACAATTTTTTCCAGTATAGCGAAATCTTCCTCGGTCTCCACCAATTCAGGGCATCTGTTTTTGTACAACAATTGGATGGTGCGTTCCATATTCGCGTCTGATGGTTTTACTATTATCAACTTTGCCGTAAATGCCGGGTTTCCCACTCTGATTTCGGTGTTGCTGTATCCCATTCCTTTTGTTAAACATTAAATTAGAAGAAATGGGACATGTTACGGAAATGATAAATATATCGTAACAGGTTATAAAATGTTCATTGCAAAACATGCATTTTTTTCCGCTACCTACTGAAAATACAATAAATTCATAACTTCCCTTAATCTATTTCCAAAAGCTCTTTCCAATAATACACTTTACTCCTCGAATAGAAAAAGATTTACTTTGATCTACACATAAAACACCAGGACGAAGACGCTATCCAACCTGACAACGCCGCAATTCACCCCTCTATGACGTCGAGGGGTGGAAAATACAGTCACGTTGCTTTCGAACAACGAAACATAGCGCGTCTGGCTTCTCGATCGGTTTTCACGAATTTATCTTGAAGTTCGATTACATCAAAGTCGTGTCTTTCGTGTAAAGAGAAACTTATTTATCCGAGTGAGAAATTTTTCGTTGGGTGACAATTTACTCTGCACTAAAGGTAAGTCAAAACATAGCAAATTTTAAATAGTCGTCGATATGTATATTTATTTGAACATGTGTTTTTGACGTTCGTGTAAATATTGAATTTGAGCTTTGTTTATTTTGTGTTATTTGATTTATTATCCAAAAATGGACAGCTTCAACAATAGTCTTCTTTATAAATAATAGAGCATTGTAGAATAATCTCATATTCCATTGAAAAAAAAATCATTTATCTTTATGTAAATTTTCTATTTCCATTATCATTATTTATTATTCTTTCCAACAGACCAACGTTCCACTGTGAAAATTTAATTCCTCGGCTAACCCATTTAAAAACAGAATCGGCACAGTCACGTATAGAATGTCAATCGACCGGGGAGCCTTGTTAATTTTTGATGTCATTAATAAATTAAAAATTTAGGCGAGTGACGACTGGACAGAAAAACAAAGCCCTCCATGTAAATTGCGCCATATTCCACCCCCATGGCAGGACCCGAAATAAATACCCTTTGCGTCGCTATTTACAAGAGCCGGAGACACGGCATACATAAATAATTTGGGTGTCTGTTGTAAAATGTTTGAGTGAATTGTAATAAAACCTTCGTAATAAAAAGGGATGTAGCTATTGACGAAAAAAAATAAGGCGCAGATTAGTCGCAACTTATTCTATTACGACTCATACATATTTGAAATGCATTCATAATTTGTTTGGTTACGAATCTAGTGCAATTTACATGAAGAAGGAAGGTATGATAACATGGTATTACCCAAAAACAACTTCACTTTGTATGTACCGATAATTGGATTTTCGGAATCAATTCAGCAACTGGCAGCGTTGAAGAAAACTGCATCCATTGAAATCTTGCAGGTTAAGCGAAATATGTATATGGAAGAGGTGAAACACTGAGACTATTCAAGCTGTGTGCTAGAAGATTGAACTTGCTTAAGCAGCGGGACGGTAAGGACTTGATAATTCGTAATTATACATTCTGCCACCTTTTCAGAATAGATCTTAAAGACTGTAGTTCAAACTCGTTTTTTTTTTTAAATCTCCGCATCGATCTTTGGTTCTGTTTGGTTTGTTGGTGTTTCAATATGAATTTTATCGTATACCATGCTGCAATGCCAATGCTGATTAGTCATACTGTACTCTTTCAGGTTGTCAGTCTGAAAACTGACTCGAAGGGTAGATTCTGAGAATGCTTCATGCTGACTGTACTTTTATTAATGTAGGGACTTTTTTGAAATGGCTGCCTAGTGCTGAAATGGTAGTGCTTCATTGAGGAGTTAAAATATTCTGTTCTATTTTGATGATGCACTCCTGAGATATTTGAATAATGCCTATTGTATTTATTGCAACATCTTCCCGCACACCGTCACAAATGACAGATATGGTTGTTGAGGAACCCGTAATGTGTTGGGTGTGCAGAGGTCCTGCCATATGATGCTTTGGATATTGTTAATTTGAATCTTGCAATGCCTTGGTTCTGGTCGTTCATAAATTTCGTCAATGATGCATGACGTATTTGTCTTTATCTATGTTTCTGACTGAAAGTGGTGATCATATGACTTGCATATGACTGCATTGATGTAAATCGCGTTCTTGAAGTTCAAAGTATACTTGAATGTTGTAATCAATCGCAATATATCTATCTAGAAGGTTCACTGACCAAAAAGTACCATTTCCAGACTCTAAAGGTACTGGAGTGGATCGTGTCAACTCGAATTCAGTAACATCTGCAATGGGGAAATATCCGAATAATGTATGTCTTATTGGCAGTCAACTTTATCGTTGTGATTGAGGATGCGACTGGCTTGTTCAATGATAGAGTGCACATACGCTGGTGAGATTAAATCGTATATGTTTCCTCCGTTGAAATGTATATCTAGTAGTTTATCGATACACGAGACTGGGGTTCTTCAAGGGATTTGGTTCTAAAAACGCCCCTCTTTTGCATTCCGTTGCTCAGGCAAGTCCATTTTCACTTTGTAATTTTTTTTTCTCTTTTCAGATTTCTAGATTTTTCCTTAATATTTTTCGGTATATTTCACTATCAGTGTCTACTATCACTGTTGGGTTGCAATTCGCTGATTTCGCTTATAAAATTTAGTGCCACTTGATAGGCACTGAGAAGGTGGATATTTAATGCATTGGTATCGATTTGTTTGTAACAAATTTGCATTTTGTCAATTCCTTGATTATCTTTCTTGAAAATATTGTAGTTTAGTGTCTATTTCGGCTTCGGTCTGGTTGAACTTTGCGAGGGCTGAAATCATGTATGTAAATGGTGTATTAATGCATGGTGCATTTTACCTCATTTGTAATTTCGATTGACCTGTTACAGAGTGTTTCAAGCTGACGAACCAACAACATTCGATATTGCCATATTGTCTGCTTGGCTTCTATTTTTTGAGTGTACTATTTCCATGCGGAAGATACTTTTTTTTTTTGGTAGGGATAGGAGGAAATGCATTATGTACGCTTAAGGCATTGTTGTTCGGGCGCCGCCTAAAACAATGTGGGACATCCCCAACTAAAACCCTTCCCCTAGTCTTCGCTTTATCCTCCCTGGGATCACCTTGCGGCATTACTTCAAGGGGATAGCGGCAATGAAGGTAGTTTACCTCTTGCGGTTTCTCTATATCTTTGTCTTTATGTTGCTCGGTATTCTGCTGGTGCCTCTTCAGCTTTCGCTTTCATGATTGATGATATCATGATTCGTGCTTCTTCCCATTTCGTGTGACTACTTAGCATGTCCGTTATAATGTTTTCCGCTGTGAGTCTTGTCTCAAGCTTTCTACTGCATGCTTCCCTTCGCTCCTTCCACTGAGTGCACACAAATATTGTGTGTTCTGCGGTGTCGCGTACGTCACAGTACAGAAATTCATTGTCGTTTGTTTTATTTATAATATGTGTGTAGTATCTAAAGCTGCCGTGCCCTGTGAGCAGTTGTGTATTATAGTATAGTCACTGTCGCCGTGTCCGCGGTAAGTCCAGGCTTCTATATTTGGTATGAGTTTGGCTGTCCATCTTCCCATCGCTCCTGCCATTTTTGGAGTAGTCTATTTCTGGCTTCCTTGCGGGCTGCATTCTTTTCCGCCTTTGACACCTGCATTCCCTCTTCCACCAGCAGGTCCACTGATGGAAGCCCTGCTATTACTAAAAGGGCGTCCGTTGAAGTAGTTGTATGCGCTGGAGATTCGTATTGCCGCTTGTCGCTGTATTCTTTCTTGAGAATTGTAGTTGATCTTTTTGCAGATTTTGTATCCCCAGACCGGAGAAGTGTACATGAGGATAGACCTCGCTCTCATCTCTTCTCCATCGCGTGCCAGAGCCACGAGTGCGATGTCGTCTGCATAACCCACAAGCGTGACACCCTCCGGCAGTCGCAGGCGCAGCAGGCCATCATACAAGATTTTCAAGAGCGCGGGTCCCAAGATTGATCCCTGTGGTACCACGCACGTCATCTGTATCTGTAACCTGCCTCTATTGCTTTGTTAGTGCGGTAGCTCTGAAGTATTTTGATCAGGTATGATGCGGCACCTCTCTTTTCTATCTCCATAATGATTTCAGGCCATGTGGCCGAGTTAAATGCGTTTCTGATCTCCAATGTAATGATTACCCCGATATTTCTGTGCCTGTGACTTTTTGTAAATTCCTATTGTTTATTTCCAGCATTTTCTGTATGGCCATCGTAGTGGATTTACCGCGTCTAAATAGGAATTTTCTAGCAGAGAGAGATTCAGCGAAGTTAAGGTTATCCGTCAGTCAGGAGGCACAGGAGTCTATATTTTTGTTTCTCGTTGATGTCCTTTTTTGGTTTCTCAATAAGAACTAGCCTGGTCTTTTTCAAGCTTGAAGGTAGTTCTTCAATTTTGACCACCTTATCCAGTACTTTGTGGAAGATTTCTGGGTGTTGCGGTGCGATAGCTTTCAATATATCTGGTGGCACTCCGGCAGGTCCTGGTACTTCGCAAGACCTTAGTTTTTGGCTCGCATTTACTATCTCTTGTATCGTGACGTCGTCTGGGCTCTGGGCTCTCTCGTCCGGTGTCTTGTCGGAAACAGTTCGTTTGCGGCTTCCAGAGCGACCTGCAATGTTGAACCCTGGTTTGTGGGTCTCATTTTGAGTTTAGTGAGTGTAAGGTCTACTATCGATCTGGTCTCTCCTCTCTGGAACGTCGCCTCATTGCTGATGTTTTGTTAAGTGACGTCTGTTATGGCCATCCACTCTAGCAGTATTGTGCTTTTGCTGTTTGTTTTGGTCATACCCCATTCTGTAGAGCTGGCGTCGAAGTTCGCATCTTTGGCGTGACTGTCAATTACATTACCCAGAGCTTCCAGCGCTTCTTTAAAATCTCCTATTTTCGCATTTGGTGAGTAGTAGCAGCTGTACGCCATGAAATGTTTGAACTCTATGCGTGCGTAGCCCATTCCTTTCTTCGTGTTGATGAGGGGAACGTTGCGGCTAAAGGCCTTGAGGGCTGCGTCCATTTTTAAGTCGGGGATCCGGTCTTTCCCTTTAATCTCGTTGTGGTTTGGTTCGGTGCTAGTATGTCTATGTTCCGTTCAAGGGCGGTGGCCGTGAGTAGGTCGTGGGTTGCGTTGCAGCGGTTGAGGTTAGTCTGTATGATTCTACTGACGTCGCTGTTTGAGTTAGTATTATCCATTTAAAGTTACCTGCGAATTTAACGAGGTTATTTGTTGCAGAGGATGACAGGATCACTGTTGCATTTTGCGTTCCTTGCCAAGCCTTCCTTACCGAGGTAACACGGATATCTTTTGTCGGGATGTTTATCTCTGTGGCTATTGCTTCCTCAATTTCTGCCTTGTTTGCCATTCCGAGGAGATTTCTTATATGGAGGACTTTAGTTGCCGCTCTCTGTGTGGTTTGGGCGCCTTTAAATTTGCTGTTGATGGTTTCTATAAGCTTATTAGTTTCCTCTTTTTCTCCTTTATAAGTTTTGTGGAGCTCGCCTTTTCTCTCGTGTTGTTGATGGGGAAGCTTATTTCCG